TGGCCAAGAAATTTTGCACAAGAGGGTGATAAAACATTTTAAGACATGGAACGGTGGAAGGAAGTATTTTCTTACCACTTCATGAACACTTAAATGGTGACATCGAGAGAAGTTTATGAAAACTCTGTCATAGTTAATTCTAGCACATGAATTGCCTGAAATTTCATGTGCTAGAATTGATATTTCTAATTTATAAATGCTTTCATATATGTAATTTTTTAGCAAAGTAATCATTCTGGACTTCATTAACATCTTAGCTCACTTGATAGGATTATTGTATAATACTCCTTTTTAACAGGATTCAATGGTGTTCCACAGTTACATGTAAAGACAATGTTTTGAAACTGTAAAAGCATTTTTTACCACGTAAACAATTAGCGGTATTGAGTAATAGCTTTCTCAAGTTCATGAACATTAGTACATATTTGACCACACCACTTGTACAAAATGATATTTTAAAATAGGAAATGCAGTTTGAGACGTGTGTGTGTGTTTGTTTGAGTTCCAACCCACTTTTCAAAGTGATTTTCAGGCAAGAAGGCATCAAATTGATGCTTTTTTGAGGTGATTTTTGATGATTTTGATGTATTGTCAAAAATTAAAAAAAAACGTGAAAATTATTTTAAAATATTTTCAATTGAAAAACACACATATTGCGGAGAAAAAGTGACATTTCATGTGCTTAACTAGCTTCTCCAGATCTTAAAGACATGTTCCTTGTGTTTAGTTGATTGAGATGAAAGGGAAGTGCAAAGGGTACTTAGTGGGATAAAACAATATCCTTGCCTAACAAAGCTAACATGTATGTCTATTTTACTTGTCTTCTCGATTTATTTTCAACTGAACAGCTGTAAACAAGATTGCTATTGAATTGGTGTGGGATGTGTTTTTCAGTGAGCTTGTTTGATACCTCACGAAGAATAACTGTTTATTAGCATATTTGCATCAAAATCACTAGGAGATTTCTTCTCAACTTGTGTATAATTTTCCTTTTTTAATAGGAATATGGTTGGTAACTTTTCTATGTTGATGTAGAAAAAAGAAGACATTTGGTTTATTGGGGTAACATTACATCATGAATGTTAAAATAAAAACTGACCCGTACAGAAACACAAAAAACTGAACTTAATGAAGCAAAATGCTGTTTGGGGTATTTGAATCTAAAGAATCAATACTTATGGCTGAAGATAGTCCCCTCGTTTAACTGTTTAATTTGTTGTCTTTTCTTGACTGAAGGTTCGCCCCATTGTTTAACCTCCTGTAGTTGTATTAATTTGTTGTGGCAGAATAGTTTCTTCACAAAATTTTGGATGTGAAGTGGGTTTGATTGAGGATGCAGGTCTTGCATCATGTCTTCAGTATGTGTTGCTTTCCCTTGCCACTCTGTTAGTTGGTTAAGCTGCCTTGGTCAGTCAAGAACTGTAGATTTGAATGTGATGTGAAGTGCCATGTCACTAACTTGTTGCAAAACTACAAGTTTCCTCAAAGAAATAAGTTTTGCTTTATGCACAAGTTATAAAAGTGATGTGGTGCCTTCCCTCAATGGGGTCTGGTTAAGTATTGTTCATCATCTGCCTCAATATATTCAGTGTGGAATTAATTTTAGTTACTCGAGAGGGAATTTTGACCTTTGGAGTTTGCAGCGTCTTGTTGACTTTTTGGGATTGAAGTTAGCAGTTTTGCAATTATGCAGACGCACTCCAGTAGTGCCTGTTAAGCGCTGAAGAGTAATCTTTCCTTTTTCTTCTTCTTCGCCATCTTTTTTTCTTAATGAAACATGTGAGTTGATGATTGGGCTTCTTATGTCAATTTTTATAGTATCATTTGCACTTGTGTTAATTAAGGGTATCTTCTGTTTAGTACGTGTCTTGGGCATGAGCAGAACTTTGTTGGGTTGTGCATGATTGCTCTATGGCCCACATGCACCCCTTTTTCAGAATGTTACAATGTTCTTGGGTAACCAGCCTGAGATGCAGATACGAATATGATCATCGGCATATATGGCACAGAGTGAACTCAAGTTTAAGTCAGGTTGCTTTGGCATATCTCTACCATGCCCAAGTTCACCTCTTTGTGAGAATGTTGATTCATTGGATTCATGCTGTGTATGATGTACATCCTAGGCATGTATCCTGAATAAAGTGAACTTAAAACTGGACAAACATGGATCTTCTTGGGTGTGCATACATATCTCTAATGCAATTGTTTTATGATCCCAGACCTTGTGGATCATTTCTGCTTCCAGGAATTTTTATTCCTGACGAGAATGGTACATGATTGGTAGTGTTGAATAAGCTTATTAGCTGTGTACTGTATTCTGTATACTGAGGACCCTGTGATAGAGCTGCTAGCTATTTTTAATATTGGCTTGCATTATGATTTTCTTTTTATTATCTTGCATTTTCTGTTCTTTTCATGCGCCTATCTCAATGCTTTTTGCACAAATGATTCATATTGAGGTCTCATCATGGTTCACGCGTTATTCTTCTGATGATTTTCACTCACTTGGTGGGTGTGCATTTGTGTATTAAGTCATTGATTTCAATGCTGGCAATTCACGGGAGCATAATTTAGTGGTTTTATGCTTTTTTACTGCAGGAAGCGACTGTTTAGCATGGTAAATGATCTGCCAACTCTCTTTGAAATAGTAACTGGGAGGAAACCAGTAGAAGATAAGCCTAATGCTGACGGTGGTAGCAAATCCAGGAATAACACAAAGGTGAAATTGGTTTTTTCTCTGATCAACTAAAGCATTGCAATCTATCAAATTTAAGCTCCATAAACACATATGCCTTCATTTTATCAACTAATTTTGGATCTATAACCTGCCTATTATATTTCAGAGATCAACTGATGGACAGGCAAGAAGCAATTCCAAGTTAAGTTACGTGGAGGATGAAGATGAGCATGGAGACACCCTTTGCGGGAGCTGTGGAGGGAACTACAATGCTGATGAGTTTTGGATTGGTTGTGACATTTGTGAACGATGGTACCATGGAAAGTGTGTGAAGATAACACCAGCAAAAGCTGAAAGCATCAAGCAGTACAAATGCCCTTCTTGCAGCACAAAGAAGTCTAGGCACTAACAAACAGTCAAAACTTGTGAGGAGATTGACCTCGTTCTCTCTCACTGATGTTGTTCCAATGCACTGATAGTTTTTTTCCCCCCCTTAAAAAATGGAGTTGAGGCTATCTATGGGATCCGTGCTTGCCTAAGTGAATGTTGTTTTAACTTTGGAGTCTTTACACTGAGAAATCGGTCTTAGATTTTGTTTAATGATAGTTTACGGAATGATTAATACTAATGGTGCCACTATTGAATTGCAGGTGGCTCTTTCGGAAGAAATATTCCTAGGACAGCCACAGTTGGGTGCGGTTGTAGATCCTAGATATATATGTGAATGTGTGATTTGCATTTGCAACTAGGATTTTGGACTGCATGTAGACGTGGCTATGCCTCGCACAGCCCCTTTTTTCAACTTGGCTGGTGAATTTTGGAGTACAAATGTCAAAATCTAGAGATATATTTTCATTCTTTCTGGTTGGTAGAATATTTTCCTACAGAGTATGCTGTTTCTAACGCGACTCGAAGGAGTTGGTAGCTTTATTTTTACGTAGGCAAAACTGCGTATGTTAACATGATCCTCGTGAGTCTTGTATGTCATGCGCGGAATCCGACTGCTTTCCCCGATGAATGAGTTCATTCCATTATCAAGGAAAAAAGAGAAGACGAGGAGCTAATCCTTGTTGCATAGCTGAAACCACCCGAGACAATTAATAATAAGCAAAAATCTCAGATGCATTAGGCTTGTCTAATGTCAACTTTACATGAGAGGAGAAAAATCAAATCTATTCCTAACAGAAACACTACATATGGATTCATATTTCTTGAAAAGAACGCAGATTATTATGAAGACAAGCATTTATTTCCATCCATGAAAAATAGATCCAGGCACACCAAGTAATTCCCAGGTTCCAAAATCAAAGGGTTCTTCTGCAATTTATGTTTAGTGCGCAGGCAAATTCTTGGTCCCGATTTGCTTGAAGAAGCTACGCTTCCAACACCTCAGTTCATATTTCTTCGACAAAGAACATGTGATGTCTGCTTGAACATGTGATGTCTGCTTTTGTTTGCTTGCTCACACAGAAAGACCTCCTGTATTTGTTACTAGTCAAAGCACACTCATGGAGCATTTATGATGCGGCACCTTCCTCCATGACTTGGAATTTCGCCACACAAAAATCTGCTGTCTGCTAGAGTTGTTGCTAACTATTCAACAGATAAACCAATATGCCAGCCTAAACTATAAATAAATACACAGATTTTTTTCTTATTCCTTCTTTATCATGTTCTATGTTGGGTTAGGAGGTCGAGGGCAGTGCTGATGCAGGTCCGAAAGGACCTTGTATTACTCCCTAACATTTTACCCGAATCTCAATTTCATACCAAAGTAATTAATTTTCACAAGTTCATCTCCAATGTATCAGACATTTCTCAATTGGGTCCTTTATTCTAAGGCCATCAAGATATTGTAAAGGAAAATGTCAAATTGTCTTGAAAAGGTGTCGTTTTGCTGTATAAAATAATGAGAAATATTAAGACATTCATGGAAGGAGTTCAATTAAGAAAACATTTAGTTCAGTGATCCAATTGAGAAATGGTGGATGCGTTGGGGACTAATTGAGGGTTCCTAAGAGAAGTAAAGATAATAAAAATATTTTTTTAAAAAAGTCCTAAAAAGACAATAAAAGCGGGAGGAGATTGAAGAAAATATATTTCAGGTGACGTTTTGTCGATGAAAAACAAAGAAGAAGCCAAAAACGACACAGGAAAACAAATAATAGGTAGTAGCATTTGCTTGCTACGATCAAGGCCAAATCTAGAAGTTCCTTCATCATCTTCTTTTCTTCGATGGCGCCCTTCTCACCAACGCCCGCAGCAAATAAACGTGCCGAGTCTTTTTTTAGCACGTGATCTCTCTCTCTCTCTCCCCCTCTCCCTCCCTCCCTCTCTCTCTCGTGCATGATGACGGAAACAAAATAACATTTGCCCTCTTTGATTGTAATTATTATAACAACTATGTGATGGAATTACCAGCACCTTCCCCCCCAATTTGAGCATGAAAATATCAAGATTTTCCAATCAAAAACCGTAATTCGTGGTTCACTGAATCAGTCGAATACTGCGTGGCACTAAAGTCCTGCTTTCAGATCACAAGTCATCTTCGGTACAGTTCGGGTGTTTATTTTTTATGGTATTGTTTTAGTTTTAGATTCAATGAAGTATGTTTTTTCTTCTTTTTGTTGGAGTATATCTATATATGTTAAACGAAGATAGAAAAAAAGATAATCTCTGGTGAATGTGGTTGTTTACGTGCAGATAATCATTCTAATACTTGACTGAAATGATTTTAATTTGATCTTCGGGATTTATTTTGAGAACAGAAAATTCAATTGTAATTAGCTTCGTGCTAGAAATCTTGGGATTACATTTGATGGAATGATGATGGTATCCACCTGTTAAACTTATCAAACCATTTATCATTTTTCAGGAGACTTTAATCGACAGCTTGTTTCGAATCAATCGATAAGGTATGCTCTACTAAAATCCATTTCGTTTCCCTGTCATTGATGTGATGCAGTGGTGTGCTGTTTGGATCTCCTTCTTGCTCTTTTCAACATACCCGATCTCATGATTCTCATCTCCAGATCTCTCAGTTAATCCGAGAAGAAAACCAAACATAAAACATACTCATTAGCCGACGCTCTTAACCAAATTAAAGTGAAGTATCAAGAACACACAGCTACCATCTTAAACCTTATCTGATTAATCAATTGGAATTCTTAGAAATTTAAATCATTGGAGTATACGTGCCATGCCGTCATTTGTAAGTGAAAGTGATTGTCGTTTGATACAGGATTTGCATTATTGAAGGCATCGTTTTTTCTTCTTCCTTTTTTTATAAAAACAAAAAAAAAACAAAATACTTGAGGCATGTGCTTGAAAGGGAGGCGCACATGGATTGTCCACCTGGGATATGGAAGAGAAATGGGTTTGAACTACCGAACTCATGTTTGTCTGGAAGGAGACTGCTCGCAAGAGATGGATCCAGTGGTCGGAGGGCCCATGGCCCGCAAAGTATTAAAACACTTCCCTCGGTCCCTTTCTTCTAAACTTTCTCAATTCAATCCTCACAATTAAGGCGTTTCGTTTCCGTTTCTGCTTTGAAGATTATTTTTCATCAACTTACTTCACTTGGATATAACTTTCCTCTACTTTGAAAATGTGATGCGTTTGGCTTCTTTAATTAAAATGTTTTTATATTAATCCCCAAAAAAGAAAAAATCTATTTACTTTCATCCCTATTGAGATATTAGGTGGCATGCATGTTAAGTATTGACCTCACCACTACAAATGAAAGAGTAAGTTTTTTTTGTGGCACTTCACGTCTTAATTCAGTACTGGATTCATCACTGATTTGCACAAGAAAATGCTTCGCCATGTTAAGGAGGGGGGGACCACTTCTCAAGAAGATGTGCACATGGAGAGGTATGTGTGCAAATGAATATCCTTGTCAGCGTGTACGAGCAAGACAAAATAGCCTGGAACCCAGCAAAGAAAGCAATTTTTACAGTAAACGGAACAGAAATTGGGAAAGATTGAGACAATAAATTGCAATTAATGGGTACAAGCTGAAAAGCGGCACTATTCCGACATGCTGCCAATCACAGCTTCGGCGGTGAATTGCTTGCTGGCCTCGACAGATTCTTCTGCAATGAATGGATTGGAAGGGGACAAACTTGAACGCAAAACGTCCTTTCAGTGGAAACAAGCCAGTACATGATCCCCAAATTACCACAACAATCTAGCTAGTGCTCGGGTCTCGGAATCAAAGGAGAATTAAAATTACAGCAGCTGTGCGTGATTAGTGTACGTTCAACGAAGAGTCCCGTTGATAATCAGCACTTAACGCTTATTTTCTATAGATTTCCTTTCGGGTTAGATAAAAGAATAATAATTAGTGGCATCGCCCGACTCCAGACAATAGGAAATGAAAAAAATAAAAGAAAGAAGCAACAAAACTAAGATGGAAACGTAGCTGTCCAAAACACTAAAATTTATTTGGAAGTGTGATTGAGAATGATTTTTATTTAAAAATATATTAAAATAATATTTTTTATTTTTTAAAAATAATTTTTGACATTAGTATATTAAAATAATTTTAAAATAAAAAAATTATTTTAGAATAAAAAAATAAAAAAATTTAAATATTTTTAAAACACTAAAGCAAATATAACAATATATTTATAAGTGGTTCCAGCTTTTTGAGAGGGGAAACCTAAATGTAGAAATGAATGGGAGTTAAAAATCACGTCTGTTTCGATTGCTGTATATGACCTGAGCTTATCTTCTGCCAAGCGATGCAAATGGCAAGCAATCTTGAGAACAAGTAGTTGATAAAAATTGTCGTGCGGATAATCATTTGAAAGATTCAAGTAATGATATTAATTTGATTTCAAGTGGTGTTGTGGTCAAAAATGCCTTCTTGTGTGTTATAATAATGGAAAATACATGTGCTAAATGCAAAGGCCACATTTAGACTCCCTAATGTCTATTTTTATCCATTTCCAACTGATGTTGACATGCTGTGTTTGCAAGTGGATGTAGCTCGCAAGATTTATACTTGCTACGAAAATAATAAATAGGAGCACTTTGTCTCTTTCTCGACGGGCTCGTTATTTACCACAAATTGACAAATAAGTGGCAATACTACACTCGTCCACAATAAGATTGAATAATTGGGAATCTATATGTATGTATATATATATATATATGTATGCATATATATAAAGAGGAAGAGAATTTTGACATGCCTTCTATGTATGTATGTATGTATGTATGTATACAAAGAGGAAGAGAATTTTGACACGCCTTCAAATTGTTATTGTTATTATTATTATTATTATTAAGAACATAATCTAATTGAGAAGAAACGCTACTCTTACAGTATCATTACTTCATTGAAACAATACTTTTTTTAAAAAAGTATTTTAAAATTTATTTTGATTTAAAAAAAAAATTATTATAATTTCATGACTTGAAACGCTAGTTTTATGAGTTAACTCTATATATCAATTAAGGTTTTTTATGGGTTTTTTTTATGATTTTTTTTAATTCCACCATTTAATATTTGAGTTAATTAGAAAACAAGTTTAATAATTTATCTCAATTTATTTTTACAAGGTTATACTAGTCTTGTGATTTTAGTTAAAAGTTTGGGGAGTTAACTCAAATTGATTTAGATTTTTTTTTTAATTTCATCTTTTTACATTTGATTGATTATAAATTGAGCTTCATAAATTATTTTATTTTGATTTCTATTGGGTTATTCCGGTTTCAGGATCCAAGTTTGACAAATTAATTCACGTTGTTGAAATCTTTTTTTCCCTTTATTTTTTTTTTCATTTTCATTCCTCGATATTAGTTTGATTAAAAATTTATCTCTAATATATATTTAATTTATTTTCTATGAGGTTATTGTGGTCTTATAATTTAAGTTGTGAATTTTAATTGTTATTCTAGGTTGACCTTGATTAATCTAATATGTTGTCATCTTAATATTTTTTTTAAAAAATATATCATCTTAAATTATTTTTAGTTAATATATGTTTTTTTGTTGTCCGTGTTATTTTTAGACTTAATAATTTAATTAGATCAAATTAGATCAATTTCTATATAATTTTTTCTTGAAAATATGTTAGTAATACTTGTATATTTTTATAAACATTTAAATAATTTTAATTCGACTTAAAGTATAGCTCATGTAAATAACCTTGTGTTTTCTGATAGCAATGGACTTGAACTTTTCTAGTTTTTTATTCTCCAAAAATATTCCACTGCTTGTATTTTTTATTTTAAAAAATGAATAATCCCAGACAGGCATGGCTACTTTTTCTAAGGAGCCAACGAACTCATAATTGATTGAGGAAGCCCTGTGTCCAGGGGGGATGTGCCCTTGTGAAGTAATCTAGAGCATGGATGACTTTAGTTAAGGACGGTATGGTGACGAATAAAATAATAATAATAAAAAAAATAAAAGAAAATAATATACTTAGTTGTATTTTTTTTTTTAATCACAACATGAATTCTGTCGTTCACTCTTTTGCAATGCAGTTTGCACTTAGGTGGGGGCATTAAACTAATGAAACATCAACATCAACATCAATGGAAGACTAAACCACAACTTGTAAATGCTTCTAGACTAGGATTAGTGACACATAAATGCACCCCACAATCAGCAAGTGCCAAAGACTACCCAAAATTGCCTTCATGATGATATCACATGGATAAATTATACAATTAGCACCCGAAATATAAACAAATAGTGAAATAGTGCATGATGATTTTTTTTAGTAAATTAGTATACTTAGAGGATGTTATAGTTGTGAATTACGGTTGCCTGGGACCGTTATATTACTATTTTGATAAATAACTAGATATTTAATAAAATAATCGTGTTATATCTAAATGATTAGATCATTTTAGTTATTGTTTAGTTTTGGGTTATTTTTATATTTTAAACCTGATTTTTTTTTATAAAATCATAGTTTTTATTAATATGAAATTTTATTTACTTTATAATTTTAAAGAGTTAAATTTTTTACAATTTTATCAAAATTTAAACAAAGTTTTCTCTATATAGAAATTATATTCAAAAAGTTTTTTCTTTTATAAAAAATATAATAAAAACCACAATAACTCCTATCAACAAGTTCTAACTAAACTCAACATATTCTCATATTTTATAATCATAAGTAGCTCCAGGAATGTAAAATGAATAAGAAATATTTCTATGATACAATATTCAAGTAATCCAAAAATATATAAACATAACTCATATAGTTATTTATGTCTATATCGTTTATCAGATGATCTGAGTTCATCGGTAACACGACTGTATCTAACTTATATTCATGTCTAAGTGGTCTTGTTTTCTACCACAACATTATCAAAAGTTAACCTCTCTTTAAAGATTTCAAGTTTAGTGTGTCAAACATTTAACTATCTGAGATGCTATGGTGTGAATTTCACTTTCTTAATAAGTATTATGAAGATAAAATACGATCCATCGACTCTCCTATGACAAAAAGCTAGCCTAATATTAATAAACTATTAATATTAAATTTAAAAATAAATACATAAAATTCAACGATTAATATTTAATTAATATTGCACTTTATAAGTGTGACATATAGTTTTTGCTCTTCAAAAATATGATATTTAGTGTATGTCATGCTTTTGTAGCATGACAAGTTCAAAACTATATTATTTTATTAATTTTTTAAAATGGTACAATTTCTCTAAATTTTTAAAGTTTATTGTGTTAATTTGACAAAAAAAAATATAACTAGACTGATTTTCAACAGCCATTCAAAGGCTCTTATCAAAAACCAACCAAACGACATGCGTTGTCAACTGCATTATAGAGGGATTTTATTGCTATGCAGACACTTAATCACATAGTAGTAAAATAAAAATAAAAATGAGTGAAGTCCTCTCCATTACAAGGCAATAATTTGGATATTTGAATTTAGTAGTTAAAAAAGCTAAATGACAAGAAACATGTGATCTTTAGGTTATTTCATAATAATATACTCGACAAGAACCTTAGAATATCTATAGTTGACAGAATTGACTTTTGAAGCATGATTGATGCATAAAACAATTGATGTCCGAGATCAATTACATTATTATACCAATACTAAACAAATAATTATAAAAAAAACCCACCCGAGATCAATTACATTATTATACCAATACATGTTTGCTGTCCATTTAGATTGAGATAAAGCTCGAAAGACTAAACAAATAATTATAAAAAAAACCCACATATATATATATATATATAAGCAAATGATATGGCTTTCGCAAGTTCCAAAGTCAAAAACGATGATTCAAAATTAAATAATGTCAAAATATAAGTGATCATAAATAGTGGTATTCTTTTATCTTTGATTTTATCTATTCACAAATAAATATTAGATGATGCATGATTACTTCAGCATACGGGATGATGCATGATTACTTTCATAAATAAATAAAATAAACCGTACAGCCACCATGGTGGAGAGTGAATGAACACATAATTATTCTCATTTCATTTCTTGAAAAATCATTTAGGTGAAAAAATTTAGTTAAATATCACAGTTATTTTAGTGTGATGCTGGTGATTCGATAATAAATTAAATGCATGTTTGATAGATATTATGTTGTATGTTATTTTTTAAAATATTTTTATTTAATTTATTTAATTATTTTTATTTCTAATATCTATTTATTAAAATTGTCAAATAAAAATAAATATCAATTTAATATCTTTTGAAGGTAAATATATTTTTTTAAAAATTCAAAACAAAGACTACTGGAATTCTAAATGTCACGTTTTCGTTTTTCCAACAAGTTGTTGCCTTAATTAGCGGGACAATATTTACTCACAAGACGTGATTAGGATATTTTTGGGCCCAGTTTTTTTCCTCAAAAGAGAGAACATATATAGAATAATCTTTATCTACTTTTCCCATTTAATTCTATTGAATTTTCAGATGTAGCCCTCTCTATGATCACAAGATGTACACTTACTCAAACTCTAACCAATGAAGGGGACGGTTACTTTTGGTTTACATTAATCAACACAACACAACACTAGCCAGGAAGAAATTTGCATAAGAATTACTGTCACGTCACCATCATCTTGGAGATTTTAGGGACTCCACTTGGGATTTTCCACGGGGACCCCTCATTCTTATGAAGAGCCTGTACTCGTCGAATGTCATAGCTGGATAGAGAGGAGGCCTGCCTGGTGCCACGAGCTCCTTCAAAGGCTCTATGGGTATATCACTCCTTGGATTGTAGAAGAATGCAAGAGAGAGACGCTCTTCTGATGAATTTACCATCACTCTGTGCTCCACGCTCTTGCAAGTGGCATTGCTTAGCACCTAATTAAACGAATCCACAAAACAGAACCGTTTACTACATCGCTCAAATTAAAAACTAACGAGACCGAATTTGCGACCGTCAATTAATTATAGTTAATTCAATCCCTCGGCGTTGTTCAGGGAATTAATAACAGAAAAAACATTGAATTACATGCTCAAGTGGGAAGGATTAAGATGCTAGTGATTGTTGCGACCCCAATGAATCCAACCTCGGGTCATTTGATTTTGATTCCATACTTTTAGAAACTCCATTTAGGTCCCTCAAGTTAATAATTTTGTGATCCGCGCTTACTATTCACCAATGTCACCCAGTTCATTGTCAGTCAAATAACGACAATTGACAAGATTTTATCGTCGAAGCATCTACTTTGGAATATATTAAAGGCAGGTTGCATTCTGCTCTAGGCAGGCAAATAATACACGTATTCATTGCACTAAATTTGATGGAATGGTTGTTGCGATCATAGATGCGGTTTGAAATTGTGTTATAAATAATATTTTTAAAAATTTTAATTGTTTTATTTAAAATTTATTTTTTATATTTTAAAATTATTTTGATATCCTAGTGTTAAAACTAATTTTTTTTAAATAAAAAATATTATTTTAATAAATTTTTAAATAACAATTACTTTAAAAAATATAGAAGAGCTCTTCGACAATAAGCTACATTGTAAATACATGTATCCTTGTAAAAAGTTACCACTCTTTTTTTCTTTTTTTGTTACAAGTTTGTTACTTGTTTATACTAAAGAGATTGCTGAGAAGTCAAAGACATAACATAAGATTCTATATGGTTGTGTTAATTATCTCCACCACTCTGTATTTTAGATGTAGCATCGAATAACTAATCCATGTTTGTAAAACATGGTTTGATGACTTGTAGTTTTCTAGAGGCAGTTTATTGTTTTCTGGGTCCATGTTCTAAACCCCATTCCATATGTTATGAACGGGGCATCGAATAACTAATCCATGTTTGTAAAAGTCATCGTTATCAAATTACGACAAAAAAAAAAAAAAAGAGACGACGAAATGCTTTCTTGAGGCATGGGCATAGCCGGTGAAAAGAGAGCGAAAATTAATAATAGTACTCAATTATTTTTTGGTGGGATTTAAACTCTTTACTTGAGGAATTCTCATTGTGCAATAGTACTGGAAGTGACAGGTGATGTAATTACTTAAAGCAGAAGAAAGAACATATGACAGGCAAGACTCAAGTCATTACAGATCGTTGTGATGTTCTGATTATGTTTTTTTACGTGGGAACAGTAACGTTTGTCATGTGATGTCTAAACGATCGAGAGGCTATATATGTGTTTTTCTTTCTTGCATCAAGAAACCTTCTAGGTTCATGATCCACAAGTTCAAGCTAAGAGAGGAAACTATATATTCATGCCTTTCATTGAGACCACTCGCTCTAGAACGGGACCAAACGACAAGTTCTTTGAAGGAAAAAAAAACACTTTTGACCAATTGTTGGATAAAAACTTGTTACTACCCCATCAAAAATATGACCCCTCCATGTTCCCTATACGTTTCAAAATCTCATCCAAACATATATATAGATAGATAGATAATCTAGTGAGAGAAACAGAGAAAGTATATGTTACCTGAATTTGATCACCAATATTAACAATAAAAGCATCTGGAACTGGCTTTACAGTGATCCAATTCCCATCTTTACGGACTTGAAGACCAGGGACATGACTGTCCGGCAAGAGAAGGGTCATGCCACCGGGATCCGAATGTGACGATAAACCAAGGGTCAGGTCAGGCTGTGGACATTTAGGGTAAAAATTAACTCTAAGGCATGCCCCAATATTTTCTCCACCAAAGGCATTTTGAAGTTGTTCCTCTCCTAATCCAAGGTTTATTGATAAAACCTTCATTAACTTCCCACACAGCTCCACCAATTGCTTACCATATTCATCAAGAACTGCCCTACAAATTCATTAGCAAGGCTTACTTAAGACTAAATTGAAATTGTTGGTGTTAAAAAAAAATCCAATCGTAGTAAGGTAAAATCCAAATACATGGTCGATATAAAACAGTTTATATATATATATATATATATATATATGAGGCTAGAAAAAGTGTAGTAAATTTTATTATAAGAATTTACTAGGTACGATGTGTAATAGGAAATCAATACGACACTTGAATTTGCAACTTGAAAAGCGTTCGGCTAATCTTAATTAATTGGTGTGCTAAAAACAAAAAAGAACCAAAAAAGGAAGCATGGGTTCTAAAAAGGGATTGAAATATACACACGCACACACACCTGCAATCAGCTGTAATGGCAGGCCATTTGTTATAGTCCTTCAATGGTAAAGGAAGATAGTGCAGGAAGTAGTAATCACTCCAATCAAGAATCGCTCCTTTTTCAACCCCTAACCGGCTACCATAACCTTCATAAGTCTTGGGTGTGTTTGCATAAGCTTGCTTAACCTCCATGGGCGAATGAAAGAATTGTCTCCATACTTCTCGAGCACGGTCCATCAATTGAGGGCTAACACCATGGTTAATAACTTGAAAAAATCCCCACTCCCGGCATGCTATTGAAATTTGGTCAAGTATTGTGGCTCGAAGAGCATGATCATCACCATATAGCCTGGCAAGATCAATGACAGGGATGTTCACATCATTCGAAGTGGTGGAATTTACGGATGGCCTCTCAGGCATGGGCTTGACATATCGCTCTGGAATTAGGGGCATGCCGCTATCGGACAAGGATTGTACACGGACTATAGGTTCGGGCCAATCTTGGAGCTTATTCATGACGTTGTGGAGGTTTGGTCTCCAAGGTTGATTCTATGTATATGATTACAGGTACCGTGGAACAATAAACATAGTCTTTAGTAATTAGTTTTGAGAGGGAGTAAAAGAATGAAATACAGGCAAAGCGGTCTAAGTTCAGAGAGAGGAGGGGATAAAGGCACAAGAGAAGAACGTAAAGAGCAGTAAATATAAGGGGAGGGGAAGTGGCAGGTGTAAGGAAAGTGAAATCGACGTGAAAGAGAACGTGGAAAAAATGGTGTTTAAAATATCTAAATGGGCGCATGATCATATATATCCAGATATTATATACTAGCGTGTATGTGTGTGTGCGCGTGTGGATTTTGGGTTGAGATTGAGTGAGAGAACAGCCTTCTTCAGTCTTCACTGATCTTATGTATGGTGTTTTTTGCAGGAGTACTGTCGAATTTGTGTGCAAACATGCGTCTAATGCTATATATTTCTATTTGGGTGATTGTGGCCGAACCAAAATCCAATTCCCAATCTCTTCTATAAACCCAAAAGACCTCGCCACAATTACATTTCAGTAGCCTGAAAAAAAAAAACACAAAGAAAAGTCAATTTAATTAGACATTTTTAACTTCTTTTTTTATGAAACCATTTGCTACTCTTGTTATGATGGCCCATGCATGAAGAGGACCGTCTACTCTTTTCGCCTCCGTGCTCACTTTGGCTTGCTCTTCTCCCTTTCATTTGATGTGAACCACATACGCCAGTGTATGGCCACTCAAGAGAAAGTGTTCGCCAATGGATGATAGCAGTAATGAGAAGAATTCAAGCCTTACTATCTCCATCTGGCATTCCATTCTTACCAGAAAAATAAAGATCTTGCTAGGTAGAATCCTAAATACATGAATGAGATATCGTTTTGTAGCTAGAAAAGCAACGTTTAGGTTTTTTTTTTTAAAAAAAAAACTCTGTGAACCTCTGAGCAAAATATAATAAAACCTGTAAATAAATAATCTTGATTAAATAATATTTTTATTTAGTCTTGATTTCAATTTAAAATTTAAATAATACTTTAATTAAATAATAAATTTTTATGTTCTTAAAAGTATTAGCTTATAGAAGTTTAACGGTACGTAAACTGAATTTATACTATATGAACAATATATAACGTCATTTTTTGTATAATATACGTGAAAAAAACATTTGTCAATATAAATTAAATGTCTTGTTCAAATATATTTTGGTTTATATGTAATTAATAAAAAAAAATATTCCCTTACAGATCAGATCTATATAAATGTCAAACAAAAACTATTCCGAGGACTATAGATACATTGAATCACGAGTTATTTAAAAGTGAATAAAAACAATTAATTATTAATCGAGTGGATAGCAATGGCTATTGAATTGGTCGACTAGACACAACACTCCATTCACAAGCTGACGCTAGCTAATTTCTATCACCCGACTATATATTTATGTATTTATAATTATTTATTAATTGAGAATGAAAGGGCCTTTTATAAATCTATAATTAGTATATACATCGACACCAATTCCACTATAATTACTTTAATAAATCTATTAAAATTAATTAATGGGTTTTATTACCAGTTCATTACCTGGTAGTTGACATTGTCTATCCCATGTTCTTTTGAACAGATATTGGCCCCAGTTAACGTTGTCTAGAACCATCGACACCATATGTATATTGATCAGTTTAAGTCTGATGGGTTCAGAGTCTTATTCTAATATATAGAAGAACAAAAGAAAACAAACTAACGTTAGTTAAGGCGTTGCATCAGACGCATGAATTATATGTAAAATAATTTCAATATACCAATGATATAAATGCAGCTGAAAATTAGTAAGTTATATATTTTCTGTCATCATTGATTAAGTATTGAATTGTAATTGTTCATCCATTTTTGTGCTATCAGCAATAATAAGTCTTCTAATATACGTCGAACTTCAGAGTTTTTTTGTGTAGATGAAAAACACAGATCTTCCAATAACATCTTTTTTTATTAGATTAGAGACTTTTTATATATAACCCAATTTTTTTATTACTAAAGAGTCTAATGAGCTTTAAGCCTTAATTGTTACTTTATTTAAAATCTATAAAGATATTTTTCTAATATTTTTTCACTTAGCTTATATATGAACCCACTAAAAAGTTTTAATATCTTCATAGGGTTTAAAATATCTAGTAAGTAAAAATACTTACACTTAAATTAAGAATATAACATATGAATCATAGTAATTACACTTTATAATCAAGTATTTTTTTATATGTATTATAATATATTGCATCCAAGAAAATAAATACTTAATGAGCAAATAAACTTTATAAATTAACTATTAATAAGTTATTCGGGTCCAACTTTATATATCCTAATAGATATAGAAAATAATCATTTTGATCTCTAAAAATAACATAAAAGACTTTTAGATAATCAACAACAACAAAAAAAAAATCAAACATCAAATAGATTAGCTACATATATATTATTCACATTATCTTTATACTCGTGATCATTAGCTTCATGCTAATATGCTCAATGAGAACTTCATGTTCTTTCACTTTTTTCCTCATAATGAGATACTTTATGTCAACATGTTTGTTTTAACTTTTATTATTATCATTTTTAGAAAATAAAATTGCAACTGAATTATAACAATATATTTTTATTGGTCTTGATATGGAATCAACAACTTCAAGACCAGAAATAAAAATTCTTAACCACATCATCTATATCAATGCTTTATAACATGCAATGAATTCTACTTCTATAGTAGATGAAACAATAATAGTTTGCTTAGTATTTTTTCAAAACACAACTCTTCTAACAAGAAGAAAAATATATCATGAAGTAGATTTTTTTATGTCTATGCAACTAGCAAAATTCGAGTCTAGGTAATCAATCATCTCAGGGTAATGAATAAGATCTTTGGTTCCTTATAGATACCTATTGACTTTCTTAGTAACTTTTCAATTGTTCATTCATAGATTGCTTTAGAACCTTTTTAATTTTACTACTTTAAATGTCAAGTCAAGTTTTGTATAGACTTATGCATAAATAAAACTATCAACTACATATGTATAAGGAATATTACTCATCCGCTCATTTTCCAGTGTATTTTATGGGCATTGATTCTAATTGAAGTTTTCCTCTTTGATATTAAGTGCTACTAAAAGTGTACTATTTGTCATTCTTAATCTTTTGAAGACTTTTTTATTAGAAGCATTTTGAGACAGTTTTGATGTTTTTTGAGACTTGTCCCTACAAATGTTTATGTCAATTGCACAAATGACTTTACTCAAATCCTTTATATTAAAATTTTGAGAAAAAAATTGCTTTGTCTCATGTAGTAAACTTAAATCACTATTTTCAAGTATAATATCATTTACATATAGAACAATAAAGATATATTTACTCTCACTATCTTAAGATTATAACGTTATAAAATTTAATACACCATTGTCAGGGGTCTTGCTTCAGTTCATATATAGATTTTTTTTAGCTTACAAAACAAATGATTATTTGTGTTATCACATAAACCTTCATGTTGGTCTATAGATACCTCTTCATTCAAGTTTCTTCATTCAAATTTCTATTTAGAAATGTTGTTTTTATATTCATTTTATGGAGTTTTAAATCATAAAAAGCTACCAATATCATTATTATCATTCTTAAAAGTGGAGAGAAGGTTTTATGATAATATATGCTTTTCTTTTGAGTACAACAATTAATAACAAGTTTAGCTTTATATTACTTGATATTACTAGAAATATTTATTTTGGTTTTCTAAATTTATTTATAGTCAATGATTTTAAATTCTTATTGTAATTCTAATATTTATATAAATAGAGATTGTATGATGAATAGAACTTACTAATTCTTTAATAGTAAATTAATAAATAAAATGCCAATAAATAATTTATTCATACCGAAGGCCTAGAATAAAATCCATCCTTAATGTTTATTTATTATCCTATTGAAAACAACAATCTCCTTACAGGGTAATTAAATCATATAAAAACAACAATCTCCTTACAGGGCAAGCCATTGCGTTTACAAAATAATTGCAATTAAGCTATGTATATTATGAGCATGATAATTTAATAATCCTTAACATGATTATCAAAATAACTTGAGATGTTATGTCTACTTCTAAGTTAATTAACATCACAATCAAATAATAACATACTTTATTATCAACTAAAAACTTTATGGCTACTTCTTAGTTAATTAACATCACAATCAAATAATAATATACTTTAATTTTAATAATCATGTAAGTTGTATCATGATTGTTCTTTAGTAATTTTCTACAAATAAGTAAATATTAACAGAACCCAAAAAGTATATTTATCCTTCATAGAGGATTGAAATATCCAAATATCCAAATAATTTATGCATGCTTATGCAAACTCCATTATAATTGAATAACAGTATGACCCCATCAACTTACCTACCAGACATTCCATATCAATTGATATGCATCCTGGGAATGTGGTTTAGTCATAGACTAATTTTCCCTAACTAAATGCCTCTCACGAGGTAAAAACATGCATACAACGACATTATGGCCTTCAAATTTCATATTCCCCGGCAACCCTTTTCAATACTGTATTTCTGGTCCCCAATCTACCCTTCTGTCTATAATTAATAATCACAGGATATCCATGTGGGAGGATAATGGTTATATAAATATTAATAAAAATATATAAGATTTTTAAGTTAACTTTTAATATAGTAAAAAAATATAACAATGTTATAATTACTATAATGAAATACTATTTTCTTAGTACTTGTATAATAATTAACAAAAAAATTACAATGTTTTCACTCTATAGTACCGTTACAGTAAAAACAATGGGTAAAATTTACGCGTATACGCAAGAAAATATTATTTCCTTTTTAGAATATGTATAATGCACCACGTACTTAACCACTGCCACTTAGAGAAGGTGAAAGGAAAAGGTGCTCTACAAGGAAAAAGTGTCTGCAGGTGACGCGCATCTGACTTCAAATGGTGTACTTCGATAATGGTGTCGTAGGACCACCGGTTTCTCTCTGCCGAATAAAATTTAAATCGGCTCGTAATGGTCCAGAACATGAAAGCGACCACTATTTATCTATTTCCCCAAAACGCCCTCTTCAATATAAAACCATCAATTTTCTTCCATATATTAAAAAAAAAAAAACACAAAGCTTATATGTTTCTTATAAATAAGGGAACATGCTACACCAACCCACGTTTATACAAAGTTTTTATCAATACATACCAAGTCAAATAATAAATAGCTCAACCTTTTCATTAATGTTTTTAAAATAAATAAAATAGCTAAAATAAACTAGGAAAAAACAAACTATAGGTGCTTTTTAATTCTCAAAATAGCCTAAAAAA